TAACTCGAAGAAGAAGGGTAAAGTTTCTGGTCCATGAGGAATTCCTGGAAAAGGAGGGATGCTTCCTTTGCTCTGTCCCCTCCTAACACTCGTCCAGTGGTTTTTGTCCTCTACAGATGGTATTTTGGTGGGAAAATGAAGTGGGAGGCTGTGGGGAATTGTCAGCTAAAATAGGAACTGCTTTTGACTATGTTTGTCTTTCCTTACTGCTCTGATTTCTGTGGACAGCAGCAAACATAGCCCTAAACTTGTGCCATATGTATATATATATATATATAATTTTTTTTTTTATACCAAACCAGCTCAAATAAAATTTGTATTTACTCCCTCAAGTGACTGTTGGCTGGTAGCTCACCACATCTGTGGATTCTGTCCAAAATGTTTAAAAAGAGGTAACTAAAGTAAGTCTGCTGTCACTAAGCCTGAATTCACAGTGAAAAGGCTCATTTCTCTTGTGTTTAAAGATGTATCAGAAATGGGCAATGGTCCCATCAAGGGCCTAGAAGATGATGAGGTCCAGTCTAATTGTATTATGTCCCAGTTTCCCATCCTCTCTCTGTTTCAGGGTGAAAACTCTGTTATGCCTCCTGGGTTTGTGTTGACCCACTCTGAATTTTGGGTCAAAACTTTAAAGGGTAATGGTCAGCAGGGACTGTGTTGGGAACTCAGAGAATAGGACAAGAAAGAAAAGCTTGGTGGGCACAGATGGGGGAGAGTGAGGTTTCCCTGTTGTGATAGTGTGGTACCACTTAGTCTGGTCTCACTCCTGAGGCTGCCTTGGTGGTTGAGTGTATTTATTCTCTTAGCTGTGCTTGCCAAGCCCTGTAGAAAGTGAAATTGTGAAGCAGGATTTGTTTGATAAGCAGTCAGTTTTGGGATAAAGGGATTATACCTCAATCTGGCACCTTCACAACAGAGCCTGCTACCCCAGTGTGGATTCTCACATGGTAAGTGGGTGGGAATCCCCTCCTTGAGCAGCTGAGGGTGGCTGCACAGAGACTTGGGAAGTCTGCAGAAGCCCAAATGGAAGTTGGGGTGTGTGGATAAAGTGTCCAGGACTCCATGGGCTTCACCATGAACAGGTTTCCCTTTCAGAGGAGATGTTCTTGGTGAAGAATTCCCTGCAGGAAAGGTGGTTATGGTGACAAGAACAGCCTCACATGTGACTGAGAAGTAACTCTAAATATGCACAGGGCCAGGGGAAGACACCTATCTGGTTACTTTTTTCTGAGCAAAGTGGGAGAGGTACAGCACTTGTTTTTTTTTTAAATAAGAAGTAGCGTGCTATTCCAGTACCATGTTGAGAGAAAACATCCAAAAAAGAGCACAGATTTTAAACAAAAGATGCTGTTAAATTTTGCTCTCTCTTCTCCACTGTTGGTGGTCCAGCTGTTACAGGCTGCTCAAACTGTGAAGGCACATTGGTAAGGTTTTTGTCCCTGTCTGTCTATAATGTGGAGCATTTCCTGCTCTCTCATGTGTGCTGTTTGGGTGGTACTTTCTGGACAAACGAGGGGGTTTTTTTCTAGCATTGAGCCACTGCTATGAGCTAATTTTAGCCAGTAGTAGGCTGGCACAGGTTTGTAACAGTCAGATGGCCACTTGTTTGTTAATCAGCATTAAATTTCTCAAGAGGAAAAGCCAAAAGCCCTAAGGTAGAGTTGATGTGCCCTTAACCATTCCCTCCTACCACCTGGATGTGCTACAGGCACCTTAGGGAGGCTGAATTTGCAGGAATTAGTATCTGTCTTGGGAGCTTAATTTGGTTATGTCTGTACCAATCTAGGATGCTCATTCTGCATTGTTTGCAGAGCATCTCCTGGTCTGAATCAGATTGCAGTCCTAGTGTGTCCAGCTAGTATTCCTTTAAAATTGACATTTCTTCCCGGTATCTGATCTAAATATACCGTCCCTCAATTCAAAAAAGAATCACTCCTCATTCACTGAGCTTTCTAGTTCTGGGCACACTCTAAGTCCATCCTTCAGGAGCTGGGTAAGTGTTAATAGGGTGTCTGGGGGTGTCCTGCGTGCTGGATCTGTTCTGCAGGAGCAGAACAGTTTGCCTTGCCTCCTTTCCCTTTGGGAGCTGTTGCAGGGGAATGGGAACCAAAGCTCTGTCTGCTGTTGGCTTTGCCATCTCCTTTTGGAAGGTGCTGCTTCCATTTAAGAAGAGGATGGTGCAGCTTCCATGCAGGACCAGGCATCTGGAGGTGAGAGATGCCTCTTCTGCACTGGTGGGACTTGTGTCTGTGGTTACAGGCAGAGCTCTGTGCTCTGGAACAGCTCCTGTCCTGCCCTTGCTGAGCTGCTTCATGCCCTTCAGCTCTGCCCCTCTGCTCTGTCTCTGCTTCTTCCCCTGTCAGAAGGCAGACAATGGGCTGCAGTTATCCAGGTCCATGCATTTGTAACTGCTTTCTTCCTGTGTAAGTACTTAGATACAGTCAAGGTCTCAGAATTGTAAGTGTTGCTGTTTGATTATTTCGTAAATATCCCTCTGTCTACTACACAGCTTGTTGCCAACTTTGTCCTTCCTGAGTGTTCTTCTTGAAATCCTTGTGTTTTTTATCCTTCCCTGTTCATCCCTTTTTCTCACTTCTTTCACTTTGTGCTGTTTGTCTTTAGCTGTGATGAGCCTTTTGGGATGGTGACCTTTGCTGTGTGGGCCCACAGTGGCTACCAGCGCCCTTGGGTGCTGCCGGCTGGCCATGCCAGCTGCTCTGCATTCCTCTTACACTCAACCTTCAGTTATCTCAGGGACTTGGTGTGGGATTTGTAGTGTAGACTCCTGTATTAAGGAGATAAGGATAATGCTGACAAGGATAATGCTCTGTAGATCTCTGATACAGCGGAGGGAATCCCCTTGGAGCTGGTAAGGATTTCCCTTAAATTTATTTAATCTGGGTTTTATACATCACCCAGTGAATTTTTCTGCTGGCTATACTGGCTGTTATGCTTTAATTACAGATTAAATATATCCATGGGATCTGAGTGATAGAGAAGTGTTCTCAGCCATGCCATGCACCTGGAAATGTCCTCGAGCACTTGATGGTCTGTATGTCTTCCCTGAAAAGAATTCTCTAGAATGATCCATCAGCGACTTGTAGCACTAATCAAAGGACTCACAGAGTCCTGATCACGGTTTCTTAGTTGCTTCACTCATACTCAGGTTTTTTCCAGTACTCTGACAAGACCACTCCAGTGAGTGGATTTCCTGCATTTCCTGAGGAGCCTTTAGGTTGTGTTCTGGATCTTATCCTGCAACTCTCAGTTGCTCCAGCTTTTCCTCTCATAAACAGTAGAGTTTAAGCCTTTTGAATTAGAGGCCTTTATTCTTGTTTTGTGAAATGATGGACATGGTAAATACACAGGGCAAGTTTTATGCTCAGAGCATTCTTGGTGTGGAGTTGTTGCTGTCCCTCTCCCTTCCCCCAGGCTCACATTCCAAAATGCACTTTTTGAAATAATGCTTTTGTATTGTAGGCATTTCGTTAGTCCATCAGCAACTGAATACCTTCAATTTATAGACCTTTGTCATCTTGTGGTACACAAATTATCATATGATGTCAGTTATTTTAGAACTGATAAAAAAAATTCTCAGCTGTACTGTGCTTTCTTGGATGGTTGAAATTCCCTTGGTTAAAAGTCCCTGCACCTTTCCTCTCCCAGGGGGTTATAGCAAATTTTGATACTCTCAAAACACAGGTGGATGGGTAGTGAAATAGTCTTTTCTACTTCAGCAGAAACAGCACACAAACAGCTTTTATTTTTTCCTCCTTATCCTAGGAACAACTTACAAAAAGTCTAGGCTGGAATCAAAACCTGATGAGGCTCCAATAGAATAGATGGCCATGTAGGTCTCTCTCCTGTCACACTTCCCCCATGGAAGGTTTGCTGGTTTACCTGATGCTCTGAGTTTTCCTCTCTGCTGGGCATTGAGTTAATTTTTTCAGAATGTCTTTTCAGGCTGCTTTTCAAGGTTGTTTTTTTTTTTTACTTTTCTTTTTCATGCTCAGTGAGGCGAGAACTGACAGAAAGGACAGGGATTTAGAAGAATACAGTAAATGCCAGACTTGTCATGTGTGGCTTTGTGGCAAAGTAATGAGATGTGAGTTTGATTGATAACTCATTGAGTGACAATTCATTCTTCCCCCCTCACCCTATCAAAGAAACACTCAAAAAATCTTATAAATATAGACTCAATAGAGTTCTCTGAAAAAAATGAGGGACCATCTTCTCTTTCTGTAATCTACGTGCAGGAGAAGGGAAGGAAATGAGATATCCCAAGTGTGATGGTGAAAAGTACTAAAATAAGGAGCAACCAGGGACTTGTGAGGATTTGTAGGGAAAAGGCCAGTGCATTTCATAATGATCAGTGATGGGAGAGGAGCTCCTGTGGCTCTGCTGAGCAGCCTGGAAGGGAGCCCTCCCTCAAGAGAGCAGGAGAGGTGAATGATTTGGAGTGATGTTTTGGCTGTGGAGAGAGCCCAGGGTGTGTATTAGCTGTTGAGGATGTGGCAGCAGTTTTGAGGACCTGAGAATCTCCCAGGTTGTGTTGCAGAAGAGAAGGACATGTGGGGTTTGTGAAGGGATGCGAGCAGGAATCTGGGGGCAAACCTGGCAGTTTGGCAATGGATTGACTGTAGTGAGCCATGGTCACATACTGGGAGTGCTTGGGGAGTGAAGTCTGGCTGTGCCTGGGATTGTTCCATGGGCAGGAGGTGATGAGGTTTGAAGTGAGTCCTGTCCCTGTCCTCATTTCCAGTGACTGGCCAGAAGGTGTTTGTGTGGTCCTCCAGGTAACACCTTGTGCTTGCACAGGGTTTTTTTTTTCTATTCCCACCTGAAACTGAGTCTTTCTTAGTCTAGAAAAGCCAGCTGGTTTCCTATGCCTGATGTAAGACTTAATGCAAGACAGAAACAGGAGCAAAATTTTGGTGAATTTAAAAGTACTCTCGGGGTGGCTCTAGGCCATAGTCAGTGCCAATATATCAATATGCACTGCAGGAGATACCTTGAGAGTGCTGCAATCCTGGTATCACTGACTGTGCTACAAGTAAAGGTACCAATAAGACATTTATTTATTTACCAGTGAGAGGAAAATTTGTAGTCCCTGTTACTGCTCAGAGGCAGGAAAGGATCCCTTGAGGAAAGCAGTAGGTTGAGTAGAGAGGAGACTGAAAGAGTGGAGCTTTAGATTTCTACTTCTCAAATCATATTTGGGGTTGAGGTTCCCTTCCTAAAGCTGACTGATCTTCTCTTGCCTCCTGCTTGACACAAGGCAGTACTTTGTTCTCCCTCTGGTACTTAAGACTGCTTGTGTGCACATCCTATTCTTCCATACTGTGTCTGGCTCTCGGGAAGAGAAACACAGAGCTGCTGTTTCTGGAGTCACCACTGGGGAGGCAGGTGTTTGATTAGGCTCTCTTGTCTCTTGCATCCATAGCTGTCTGGGCTGCAGTTGTTCTGTGACAGCCAGACACATTCAAGATAAGGACCTCTTGTGTCCCCGAGGAAAATATTGGTGGAATCCTTTTGTTCGTCTGTGGTGCTCGAGTTAGTTTGTGGTTGTTGAGCTGCTTTTGTGCTTCCTGTAACTGAATCTGTTATCTCTGATAGTGTAACTGAGGTAAGCACAAACCATTCCTGTCCTTGCACACTTCAGGAGCTAGTTCACGGGTCAACACAGGGTACTTCCAAAAATATATTGAGTTTTTATGCTGTTTAACTGGTTTGTTTCCCTGTGATCTCAAGGCTAAGGGGATGGAGGGCATGTACTTTTGAATGCAGCTTCTCTTCAATCAAGTGACTCTCTCAGCTGGGTCAGAACATCCAGGGCCTGACTCCAGCAGTGTTCTAATGGTACTCCTGTGTGTGTGTGCACATGGCTGGAGTTGTCCTACACGGGTGAGGGTTGAGGCCCTGCCCTCTCACCAGACAGATGCATGTGACAAAGGGGAGGGCAATCACCTGAAGAGCTGTCCTGGATTGCTAAAAGCATCATGGTGAATAATGCTTTTTATTCCTGCCACTTTTTCTCTCAAATACTCTGAGATCACCTATTGCCTTTGGCAGTGTGTTTGTTTTCATGGTCAACACTTGCACTAGTGAAGCTGCTTAAAAATGCCTGAGCTACAAGGCAGCTGGCAAGGCTGGTTGGCTGGCTTGGGATGGTGACTGCTGGCACGTCACTACTGTGCTTTACCCTAAGAGAGTTTTTTAAGAGCACCTGACTTGGCTGGGATAAGTGAATGGATTTTTTTTTTTTTTTGCCATCCAGATTTTACAGACATGTAGTGGCCACATACTCTTATTTGGAAGTTCATAGATTGTCTTTCTGGTACAGCAGGGTATTAACTGGTGGTATTGATGTGAGTCCTGTTCCCAGACAGCTGCTCCAAGGAGACAGGATGGTTTGGTAAGTAACTGTGTACACTGTGCATAGCACAAGTGATCCAAGATGATGATTTCCAAACCGTGCCCTTGGAGACTCCAGAGTGTGGAGCAGCTGTTGGTGTTGTGGAAGTTGCTCTGATAACTATTGCCAAGATATCACTCTTCATTTTAATTGCATGCATGTAACTACAGCTCAGTGTATTCCTGTTTTATTTCCTCCATGCTATTATGAAGTTTTATGATGCTTCGTGGAGGTTGCTGTCTTTAGAAACTGTGACCCTTCACATTGCATTCATTTTATTCTCTTTCCTAATGCAAGTCCTACTTCTCAGCTGAAGCAGTTTTCTTCAGTGCAGGGAAAGTCAGTGTCCCTCCCTTTATCCCCTATGGACATCTGTGTCTGCTCACAGAGTCTGTTGGTTTCTCCTCTGCTGGATCCAGCACCGTGAGCCATGTGCCCCTTGCCTCCCTCAGCTGCCACCTGTGTACCCACTGCTGCTCCTTGCTCTCGCTTTGCCATCTGGAGACGGTCAGTTGTGCCCACAGGAGGCAAACTCTCATCTTCTGAACTCAGTTAGAACATCTCTAAGTCCTAGGCAGGAGTCTGAGCTCCTGGAAATCCCAGAAAATGATAGGAAATCCAAACCTGCTCATGGATTGACAGAAGTGACATGGGGAGAAGTGTTTGTGATCTGATGGTGTGGTGACAGCCTCAGACACTGGTGTGCACTGACACATCCATTCACTTATCCGAGCTGGAGGTGTTGGAAGCTCTTGGTATCCCAGCAGTGCTGTTTGCCATGCTGCTGTTCCCACGTGGAATGAGTGGAACCAAGTGGCTGGTTACTTTGTAGATTAAACCTGATGAAAAGGAAAAATGCTCCTGCTGCAACGTGTTTGGGTTTTGTGGTGCTGATCCCTGTTGGGCTGAATTCACCAATCCGCTTCCTGTGCTGGATGCTGAACACGGTTGCAGGATTTAACAGGATTTTGCCTCTTGCATGGTTCCTGAAGGAAAGCTTGCCCTTAGCTGCTGTGTGCCTGATGCTTGGGTTGGGATGTGAAAATTAATGGATGTGTTTGTTTATTCAGGGAGAAATAAAACCAGCTCTGCCATCAGTGGGACCCAGGTTCTGGCAGAAAGGAGCAGCAGGGAAGGATCTGCCCAGAGGATGCCCCGACAGCCCAGTGCGAGCAGGATGCAGAAGGCAGGAGCCTCTGGGAAGAACACTGGGGGAGGCAACAGTACCTAAATAAGGCCTTGGAACTAGATGGATTTTAATACTTGACAATGTATATAAACTGTGTTTGTTAAAGCTGCTTGTGTTGTGTGTATTAACCAATAAACATGATTTGTAATACAGGACTTAGTTTTTATTTCCAAACCTTCTTTGGCCACACAGTCTGTTAGGAAGTGTTCTTGCATTTGTTCTTGCCCTGTTCCCCTCCTGTGCCTGTTTACAGGGTTTTAGCACTATATCTGAAATCAGTCCTCCCAGTGCTGGTGTGATTATAAAGTGTTACAGCCCCCTTTGCTTCATGAGCTAGGTCAAAAGAGGAGGTTGTGCCAGATAAGGGAGACAAGAGGAGTACCTGAAACAGGTAAAGGGTTTGTTAGAGCTCAGGTGTTCCCATTCAACATTCCAGAGCATCTCCAGGCAGCTGTGGGGGCAGGGGCCATGAGGGGAGGTGGCCAGGCACAAATGATCCCAGTGCTGGCCTTCAGGAGAGCAGAGTTCGGCCTCTGTGGGATTTGATACAGTCCCATGCGATCAAGCCCTGGAGGGAAGTGGCACTCAAGAAAGGAGGTTGATAGTCAAGGATTACCTTCATGCTCAGGGGCAGTCCATCCTGACATCCCAGAGCTACATCCCATGCCTGAGTTCCAACTGCATCCCTGACACCCGCTCTTAGAGCCGTGTCCCTGCCCCCCCAGCCCATTTCTGACCCCTCATAGCCTCAGCCGTGTTCCCTCCAGGCCCTGCAGGGCTGAGGATGCTGCTGTGGGGCTGCACTGGCTGGGGTGCAGCACCGTGGGGTCCCCCATGGCACTTCAGATCAGGGTTCTGGGGGTTGTGTGTCCCCTGAGGTTGGTGCAAGGGGCACTCCAGAAGGGACAGGGCAGGATCTGGGGTGGGATGAGGGGTGGTGGGGTCAGCCAGGGCTGCGGGCCCCCCCCCCCCTTGTGCCATGAGACAGCCTTAGGTTATGTGACTAAAAGCTCATCTCTGAGTGAAGAGGAGGAGAGGGGCAATGAGAGGTGGAGGAGCCCTGGGAGTCTCCACAGTGCCAGGGATCCCCTGTCCTGGCTGCTCCTGGGGCTGTTGGTGGGCCCAGGGGGGGCTCCCACCCTGATGGCCAATGGGGCCACTCTGCAGGTCACCTCTTGTGCTGAGGGGGTGACTGTCTAGGGGTGAGGTACACATTATGGGATGCAAGGGAAGAGCATTTGGGGATTGTACAAGGCTTATTATGGGATGGTTAGAGGGAGGAACCAAAGGTGGGAAAAAGAAGGTATCAACGTGGTTTAGGGAGCCATAAATGTGGGAAAATTAAGAGATAAGGATATGACAGGAGATGTGTAGCATCTAACTGCCCATCTACCAGTCTCAGGGTATGTGCTTCCAGGGAATACACTGCTGGGGACATGGACATTTGTCACTATTAGGATGCTTAATCAGGTGCACGTGTTGCACGCTAATTGGTGACTTTCTGTGCAAAGCTGGTTTTCAATAACTTTTCACTGTAACATCGTCTTGGAGGCTTATAAAATCAAGACAATTTTATATTCAAACGAGATTTGTTTTATAAGCCAGTTAAAGCAGGTAAGCCAATCAAACCAATTAAAGCTCTGTCAACATTTGAATAGAGATTTGTGATGTCAAGTGGAATTGGTACTACCCAAGTGACTTCAGAATTCTCAGGATTTTAGAAGGGTAACACAGAATGTGCAAACACTCCTATAGTAAGCTGGGGACTCACAACTTCACGGAGTTACCTTGGTCCTGACCCAAGGGGAGGGTCCCCAGTTGTCATCCTTCAAGGAGAACTAACTCTGCTGCCCTCCCTGCCCATCTGGGCTCCACCTATATCCCAGCTGAATCTGATCAGTGGTCAGATCCAGTCACAATAACCCTCACTGGTCGGAGTCTGACCTGCCCCACCACAGCCACCACGCAGAGGTGCTGCACACCAAAATCCATCCATGGCACAGCTGAGGTCAGTCGCAGGTTGCTGTCTGCAGGGCTGCTGGAACTGGTGCACCTGTCATGAACAGCCAGTGAAGTTTATCCTTGAATAGGATTGAACACCTGCAAAAGGAGGAGTAGGGAAAGCAGGGGGAGAGACTGCAAGCTCTGCAGGGGAACCTTCTGCCAGGACCTACAGACTGTCTCCCTGCACCGTCACTGCCACAAAAGGGAGGGCCGGAGGGGAAAAAGCAAGGTGTAGACCCAGACTAACCTATGATGGCCCGTACGGGGATCGAACCCGCGACCTTGGCGTTATTAGCACCACGCTCTAACCAACTGAGCTAACCGGTCACTGCCGCCCACTCCCCGCCACCGCCTCCTGCCCCGGGGCGGCTCCGGGACCCCAAAAGGGGCCAAAAAAAGAAAAAAAAAGTGCTAGCAGAGGATGGTTTCGATCCATCGACCTCTGGGTTATGGGCCCAGCACGCTCCCGCTGCGCCACTCTGCTGTCGCTCTATGGCTTTTTTATGTCGTCAACATCCCCGTTCGTGCCCCGCCGGGCCCGGCGCGCAGCCCGGGGGGCCCGCGGGGACAGCGGTGGCCCCCGCACCCAGCGGGGTGACCGCGACACCCCCGCTGTCCCCTCACAAGGGGTGTCAACGGATGAACGCTGTCGGAGCTTTACCCTTCTCCCAGGAACTCGCTCCACGTCCCCCCGCTGAAAGCTGAACGGAGACGTTACCGAACGCGGCATATTTCTTTAAAAAGGGTTCTACGCAGCAGCGGGGGAAGATGTTGGAAAATTTTTTTAACTTTTAGCACAGGAGTGTTTACCATGGTTACCACATAGTGCCTGGTACGAATACCAGAGATTAATGTGGCTTTGTGTTAACCCCCTACATCTGTGACTAATAGTCTTGTGCCAGATAATGCTCCATTATTTACCTATATTAGTGATTAACATGCACTAGTCTTATGTCTTATAATTAATTAATTAATTAACTAATATGTACTAGTCTTATATGTCTTAGTTTTGAGAACAAAGATGGAGTGCCAGAGCAAAGAATGGTAAGAGAAGTGCATCATGACCTGACCACATATCTGAGATACTCATTAGAAGATCTGGAACAATAAAAGGGAAATTTGGGGAATGGGATGTTCCCCAAAGACCCGCAAAAGACCCCTGCCCATATCTAAATAAGTCCACAGAAATAATTATCATATATGCATGTGTTCAAGAATGTAATTAATATGTAATAGGAATGTAGTGAGTATGTATTAGTTTCATGGCTATAACTTGGTCTCTTTGGTTGCTGGGTATGCATTTTGGGTGGAGGGATTCTCCATGCACCCAGTGTGTGGAATAAAGGAATGTTGGCTTCCTAACCCAACAAACTGGTTGGAGAATTTATTTCCCAGTTTTCAGTGACAGAGACAAAGCCCATCTGGGATCTTCTATTTTTTGGCCAGCCTGGTAGGAGCTGCCATTCACCTGTCATATATTACTATCTGTCCATAAGATTTTGGGAAAACAGGCAAGTATCCTAATGGGGACATATTAAGGAAGCTGGGTGGATTTTCGCACAAGTTTCTCCCAAACTGGGGGTGCTGGCTTGCAAAACTGCTGTCAGTGGGAGATTTTATTATTTTTGGAAAAAAATCCAGAAGAGAACATAAATTGTGGGACCAGAGCTACTCAGCACATCACACACCTCGTATCCACCGCAAACAGCACCAGTGTGTTCCCACCAGCCCCATGGGAGCCAGACTCAGGGGGCAAAAGGAAGGCACACTGCCATGTGGCTCCTCATTTTGAGGAGAAGCTAAAGTTGTTACCTATCTGCTTACTTGGCATGGAACCTGTTTCGCTCTGGGTTTCTGGCAGGAACTTCCTCCCTCTTCACTCTCAGAGCCTGTTTCTGATGGGCACAAGAAGGTGGGGTGGACCTCTGGAGGGCTGGTGTCATGCCACAACTCTATCACTGCAATCTTTTGGGTAAACCTTTTCCTCTTCTTGTGTCCTAGGATGACTGTCCCCAAGAGCTGACGACCCTGCCTTGTACTGTCAGTATTTGCCCCATGGGAGTTGTACTGAAGTGTGTACAAGGGCCATGCTCAGAGAAAGGGACCTCTCACCTCTGAGCCACTGCTGGGTCCAAGAACTGGGCTGCTGCAGAAGCTGCAGGTGATGCAGAAGGTGGAGAAGCCATGTATATGACCTTTTTGACCTTAAAGACAGTCAAGCAGTGGAGTAGGTCATGCAGGGAGGTTCTGCAGCCTCTGACAGACCCAGCTGACTGAACAGTGTGGTCTCACCCCAACAGCTGACCCTGCTTTGAGGATAAGATGAACTAGAGATCTCCTGGGGTGCCCCGATCCTCTCAGGGCTGTTTTGTCTCAAGAGCTGTGTCCATATGCTCTGCTCACCTGTGGCATCCAACAGAACATGCCTGCTGCTGCAACCCCTGCCCATATCTTTTCCCTTGCAGAGCTTGCCCTATGGGAGATTCTCTGCTTTCCCACATTCCTTCACACTTCTCACACTTGCTGGAGTGTCATCCCCCAGCTTAGATTTGAGACATTGTTCATGATTTTTGCCTTTTGGGCAACACATCAGGTCTGTGAGTAGTTTCTGGTAGGATCCCAAAAAGGGGGTGAGGTTCAGCTGTTTAGAACTACATGGTATCTTGCTTTGCTTCCTGAGACAGGAATCCCTCTCTGGACTCATTACCAGATATACTCAGAAGGCAAAATGTCTCCCTTGGTAGAAAACTGCAAACAATTTAAGTTAATGGAAGGTGACTTTGGTTTTGCTTTTTAATCTTAGTAGTGGCAATAAAGTTAACAATGATTGGGTTAACATTTAAATTTAAAGTGTAAATAACAAAGTGTGAATCTCCATTTGAAGATAATGGGAGGAGAAAAACACTCTTTGCTGGCTGCCTTGTTTGAATTATTAATCAGGTCAGTTTTGGTGGACAGAAAGGAACCCCAAACCAAAACAGACCA